CTATTTAGCGACAATTCCGTTACCGGAGTCGCCTCTATCCATTTCACTTTCCGTGATCGGCTTCATTCGTCTGCCTGTTTGTCTATTTTTCTATCACAAAATGTGGCATCAGCAGAAGATTCATCTGTGGAGGCTGACCAAGTTTGCAACGGTGGGCATAAGCTAGGAAGTGCAAAACACACATGAACCGGGTGGAATCCCTTCTACTGTGTGCAGAGGATGCACCGAAATAGGGAATATCAACTCAAGTTTTTCTGATTCTGCACCAAACAGCTGAGAGACGAGGAAAAATAGGTACTTGTGGCTCGCTTTGTCGTTCAGAGGAACTCCTTTTGGCTGGCAAAGCGTTAACTAAGCGGGCGGTGTTATTGAAAAAACGTAGATCTGTTATGAGCTAATCTAAAAAGCAGAAATAAATTGGGGGGAACCAATGTTTAAGGTGTACCAGACACTCAAAGAAAGCGGAGACCGTCCACAGTGGGCGGAGCATGTCTTGGGTGGGCGGGATTTTTCGGAAATCTCAAAGATGTTTCGAGAAGATTTGGAGACACCAAAAAAGTGTACAGGAGCTGGTGATGGAGGGAAGGTCAAACGCTAATGGTGGATAGGCCACCTACCTGGGCGGAGCAAATTCCGTGGATTTTGCAGCTAATTTCATATGTCAAAGAAAGCGTCACGCAGCCTCCGCGTGTGGTGCCAATCTGACGTAAAATTCAAACGGTGGGGAAGGATAACAGGAAGACAATCTCGACAAAGCCACGCTGATGAGCAAGAAGTAAGGAGTGATTCAATGGAACGGAGTGCTTCGGATGAGAAATCATTTATCTATTTTAGCTGGAGATCTGCTAAGCGTTAAAATTCTGGCAACTTCCCTGTCGTCCTTTATGAAACCTCGGCATTCTCAGTCGAACTGTTTTGTACTTATGCTAAACAATGTTTCCAGATGGATCTCTGTATGGCCTTACATAACCGTTCCTTCTTCCTCAGGTGGTGATTATTTTTAAGATGTGGAGTTCTAGCTCACACCCTGTGTTAGTTATGAAGTTGATAGGAAATTTTGCTTCAACGTCATAACTAACCCAAGGTGCGAGCTGGCGCTCCGCGTTGGTGGAATCTTCGGCCTCTAAAGAAGAAGAAATGAATAAGAGGAGAGGAGACAATAAAGATTCTCAATAGAAAACTTAGTTTAGCACCCAGTACGAAATATTTCCTTTGCTTGTTTCGCTTTAGTTGAAATTGTAGATTACGATTCTAGGATAAATTATCGGAGCTGAAGAAGTCATTTGCCAAGAATTTCATAACCTTTCAAACGAAGTTGCTCAAAACGGAGGAGCCAAAGGTAAGGACCGAATTTTTATTCATAGAACTAATACCTCATTCCCCAGTGGTATTTCAGCATCACAAAATTCGTTTGATTAGCAACACAGAAGACGAAGAAGCTGGGAGTAAAATAAACGATCCTGTGCTACACAATATCGTCATTGATGTACTGGAAGGTGTCCAAGCAATAAGGCAGGAAATGCTCATGCAGGAGCATGTAAAACGAATTCGGAGAGAATGGCAGATGCTGGCCAGGTATGTTATTGAGATTCAGACGGAAGGCTATCTCTTTCGTAGAAACCTATTACCTTTTCACCTTCTAAACGTTGAATTCGACATTTCTGATGAAGGGTGGTGAAGAAGCCATTGGGAATAACGATAACACGCTGGTCTGCGTGCCTGTTTGGGGTGATCATTGCGAAAGTGAATTCCTTACGATTTCTGCTCGTGTTCATCCTCGCAGATCAATGCGTATTACACAACAGAGGAAAGTTGAGGGGCTGACTCTGCTCCTGGATGGAGCTTGCGGAAGGAAATCACCTCTAAAATTTGCAACCAGCACCGCTTCTTTTCAAGAAAATACGGTTATGATGAAATTCAAGAAGGGTTCAGTGTGACGTGGTGGTGTTCAATGGTACCCCAGCAGCGAAAAAAAGCAGAAAAGTCCGTCAAGAAAACACAAAACGGGACCCTCTTTTTTGGCCATTGGTTTCAACTCGTGAACAGGTAACAGCTAAGAAAGAGGACGTATGAACGAGTTCACCGCAACGAATTTGATGGTACCATGTAAAGTTGCTTTAAAGGACGAATTCACGATGAAAAAGCAACCCATTTCAAATTAACCTAGGGATGGTGAGTGGTACACGAAAGAAGGAAGAACCATGAGAAACGGCCCAGAACCCGAGAAATGGTACCCCTTCCTTGCCCGTTGATTCGAGCATTGATGCGACTCTCATCGCTGTGCCCTCTTCAACACTACGCTCTCTCAGCTATCTAATCACTCGCCACGTATTGAACTACGGCGAGTGATCAGATGATCGGTGGGCGGAGATCGCCGGACCCGCCAGCTTTGAGGCATGATAGGTCGCCGAGGTCAAATTTTTCCATGCGAATTGCGCGTCAGTTCGCACCCTCAGGAGGTCCGTGGGTCCCTCAACTAGGTCAGTTTCCCTTTCTTCGACCTTCATTCTAATCGTGAATTCCTCCTTTAGAAGCAATTGAAATACTGCCATGTTCGCGCTCCGCTGCTGGTCCCGCAGCTCGTCCAAATCAACAAGTAAACTTGTGGGCGTAACGCTGCTTGAGGCGGAGCGCTGCGGAGGTCCTGCTCAGCAACCACAGCACCTTTCGCCGTGGAAGCGCCACGCATCGCTTCCTTGCAGCCAAGTAATTGCTCCGTGTGGCATAAGTTATCCACCGATGCGAAAATTTTTCATCGTTTCTTTAAGACAACCAGTCAGCGAAACATAAATAAAGTCAACGGCGCGGAATTAAACTACTGGAGTTCGTTGGGTGACATGAAACAGTTTGCGAGGCACTATTTACCCTTTACTGCCCCACTCCTCGAGAACTGAGCCGGATTTTTATCGAAATTGGTCATTGACTGTGAATTTGGCCAGAAACTTGTCTTCGGGGGTAATTCGACCCGTAGAACACGAATATCACATTTGTTTACCGCTAGAACGCCTGGCGCTCGCGTCAGAAGCGCCGGCGCCAAAAGGCGCCAGAACATCTCGGATCCCCAAATTCGCTGGAAAGTTGTCCTCAGAGGTATTTTGACCCGTAGAATATGATTATCACATCAGTTTGTTACGAGTGAACCTGTAGCCTGCGCTACGAGCGCGCGCAAAACTGTTGTGATAGCGCCGGCGCCTGTGGCGCGGGCGCCAAGCGTTTTCGCTCTAAACCGGTATTATATTCGTGATCTACGGGTCAAATTACCCCTGAAGGCAAGTTTCTAGCAAAATTCCACAACAACACACACAAACACTTGCATGGCAACGAAATTTTCGATTCAGTCGCGGCCAGTTTCTTGAGAGAGTAGGCAGTAACAGCGGTAAATAAGTGTCCTGTTTGCCAATTACGATTAGCGCGTATCACATTGCTCCAGAGTGGGCGAAGGGCAGCTTGCCTCAATATTCCAGTTATGTCATGATGCAAAATTGAGCCTGAATTTCGCGTTTCGATGTTCTTTGGCTATTATTAATCACATTCCGCCTACTCCGCACAATTCACCTCGCAGTAATTGACGCTCTTCAACTGCACCCCGTTTAATCCTAGGGTTTGCTTTTTGGCCTCACATGTTCTGTCAGATCTCGCCCAGATACATTACATTCTCGAACATAAAAAATAAGTCCCCCTGAGCAAACTCTTCTAGATGTCTTGGGCTTGGACGACCTGTGGTCAACAAAGTCTCTAATAACTTACATGTGTATATTGATTCATGGTATGGCATCCTAACAACCAGGGGAAAAGCGTGGCTAGTAAACCGCAGACGCTGCGGCTTTTCATAAAATCATTTATCGCGATGGTGTTTTGTATAGAAACCTGTCATTCTCCTAGAACCATACATGACTATCTGAACATTTGCGTTGATCGTAAATTGGATTGACGTGGTATTCGATTCATTCCGGGTGATAGCCCCTCTTGCCAACTCATCATCTCCGCTCAGATGAAATTTCAGAAATATAGATTGGCGTTGTCAATCACGCTTGCAAATTACTTCTGTGTTGCAACCATTTCACTCGCGATAAAAGAATGCGGTTGGCGTGCCACATGGAGCGAAAGAATTGCAAACCGCGCCTTTGTAAAAATGGTTCACCTTTAGGTTTCAACACGGCTGGTCCTCTACCTCAACGAACTTCGTTGTAATCCCAACTCCACTGCATTCGAAATCTGTGATTGTCCCCATTAGAACTCTTCTAAGTTTCCAACGTTTCCACCCAGGTTCAAAAGTCGGAATTCGACACCCCTGTCGTACAAGATCAGCGTCGTTCATTGCTTTCTAACCGTTTATGAAACCTTTCGCCCCCCCCCTCCCTTCTGCCATCTGCTCCTCGTGCCCTGTACTTTGCATCATACAATAATTCAGGGAGACACTGAAACCATTAACACAAGAATAAAGTGTGGGACTTGTAAATTATTTTTTGGGAGCTCGCTTACGGACCAGTAACCTCGGTATGACCTTCTTCATTAATTTATCCAGGGTAGCTTGCTTTGACTTCTGACGACTTGCTGACAGGGGTGAAGAGCTATAAATCCCCTATTTGTGCACAATTCTGCCATCAAGCGCGCGCTCCTGTCTCAATAAGTCGCAAAACTGTGCTAGTGCTTGGCCAGAAACGTCGCTCCCGTGGACAATGCCTTTAAGTCCGACTTCAAATTAACTTTTCTTGAATTCATGAACCAATTAATTCAATTTTCAGAATGATGGAGAAATTGATCATGTGGGTGTTCATTGCGTGTACGATTGCATTCGCCTCGTTCATGCTGTATGATCGACAAGATCCGCCTGTGATCACTGATGAGTACATGAGGGAGAAATCGAACGCCTAAATGAGCTGACTAATCCAGTCAGCTGAAGTCTCAATGGTATCACCTCTTCCAAGCATTCCTAAAGGTGAAATATGTGAGCACTGCTAAAATCTCGAAAGGTGGAATAGTCCATTGAGTGATCCTACTATGGAGATAAATGGCGCAACGGACCAATAGCGATAAAAATAAATTACTATATTGTAACAGTTCAAGACCTCATCTACGGGAGCCAAGGTGGCCCAAGTTTCTCCAAACCGTACAAGATGTTTTCTTCCCACGAAATCAAGAATTAATGAAAAAATCAGGTCTATTCCGAGAAGTACTCAACAAATTCAAAGAGCGTTAAGCTAAGAGCACTTAAAAGAATTTCCACGGAAAGAGCTCCGCCCTCATTACCACAGAAAACGATGGCACAGCCACTAATGACATATCATTTTAAACATGGACTTAATCTACAATGCAGCCATAACGGATCCGTTTTGAATGTTTTATGAAATAAAATATTGTATTTATTGTTATAGTGTATTGTGAATTTATAACAATGCATTTGTAATGCATCAACTTTTTTTCTTGTTGAAATGGATTCCAAATCTAACCTCCCTTCAAAAAGCGAGAAAGTGTCGGGTGCAGACCAAACACCACAACTGACGACGGCCTCCAAGTAAATCTGGTTAGAAGTTGTTCATAGTGATAGCTGATTTCTGGTAAATGATAGTTGTAATTAGTGACAATCGATAGAATACAACTGCAACAGGCTAATCATTTCATTGGCAGAAAACATTTTGTGAAGGCCGTCGTCACTTGTGGTGCATGGTCTGCACCCGACACTTTTCTCGCTTTTTAACCCATAACGGACGGCCAGTGTATTTTCGCGTGCGCCACCATGTGGCGCACGCCGCCACCCAGGGTAGGGTTTATGTAGGCTTATGTGAACAGCAGGGTAAGACGGGGCTAAAGTAGGTGTCGGAGTCTCATCATCCAAAAGAAGAGATTTCCGTTGACGACAAGTTCGTAGCCCGCCTTTCCGCTCTAAAACTAGGGTGCAAAGAATGAATGGAAGCTGTAGGTGACATTATCGAAAAATGCGAAACAACAACCCCGAGCAAGGATGTGGCTATATTTAGGGGAAGGGGTCTCGGGACGTGCGAACCATGGGTAAGCCACCCATCAAATAGTAAACTTATGTAAATTAAGACAAAATGTATGTAAAATTTATTGTAGGTTTGTCAAAAATCCAGCCGTCCAGGTCCTGGGAAGATATGTTATTCCACATTGCTGAGAGTATATATGGGTATATTAAGATTGCTAGAAACATTCCAAAAACAAAAGAAATAGTCGTGCGCCACCTTGTGGCGCACGCCGTCCGTTATGGGTTAAGGCAGTCCTAGCTGTTGCATGTCTTCATGAAACTATTTTCGAAGTAATGTTTCCGTAATTTAACAAGTTGACGACATCGCGTGTTTTGGCATTTTGCACCGCGTGGGACAGGAGCGATTTGGCGAGCGCGCCGTCCTCACCTTACTTCCGCTTATTTTTTGTTTAAAATGCACAACAACTTGAATCTCATAGGGTTCATTTGGCAAGGATGAAATCATGGAGGTTACCTCTATAAGTAACAGTAGAATTTTGTTTGGAAGAACGCAGTATGACTATGGAGAAGCAGAAAAACGTTCACTTTCACTGCGAATGAAGTTTAAAAGCATTTCCACCTTAGTTTTCCCACCAGATTAAATATCTTGAAACTCTTGGAGTATTTTTGACAGTGGAAGGAAAACAAGGAGAAGAATTGAATTGAAAATTCTGTGTGTTTAGAAAATCTTTGCTAAATCAAGGCAGATTCGATAACTCTGGCGGCTATGTGGTTTATAGTTATGCCTAATGTGCTCTAATCTATAGAATGATACAAAAAACTGAGGACGAAGGCAGCGGCAGCACGTATAAAAATGAATTGATTATGGTTCTGACGCCACACGCGCGTCAGTCAAGAAGTCCGATGCTGCTACCGACAGTTTCCGACGCGCAATGCGCGTCGCAAGTTGTGTCTAACGTTCAATTTCACGTCGCCATAACACCGCTAAACCAGCATCATAGATTAGAGTTGCCTATCAGCTTACTTTCGATTTATTTATTTGTGCCTCGTTTGCGAAATAAAACTGCTCTATAAATTGTACGCTGCCCTTCTGTATTGAGCAATCGTTGATTTGATGGTTTGCTTCGTCGGACGTGGGCGGTCAAAGTCAACCCTGGCGTTGCGCAGTTCGCAACGGCACGTTGAGAGATCCTCAACGCACGCTGTATGGGCGGAGACGCAGACGGCTCGAGCATGCGAGTGTGAATGTTCGCGCGAGAGAACGTGTCTAATCGGGCGAAACTGCGCAACGTGGCCGTTGAGAAACTGCGCAACGCAGGGTTGACTCTGGTTATAACCTGAACAAATTTTTCCCTCACATGATTCAAGGAACAGTATTCCACCGGCGCCAGTTGAATCTATCTTACAGTTAGTTGCCTGAAGCTTCGTGATTGATTACAGCGTATGTGGTAATCGATCCAATAGGGATGCGCCTCGCATGTGGTTGTGTATATTCGTCATACACGACATACAACATACATTACCATCAACGTCAAGGCCGAGTACACATTCAAACGCATTCGCAACTGCGCATTGGGATCGCATGTATGGCTCATCCATAATCAATCCATCAACGCCAACCTCGTTTTTTCTGTTTGATTTTCATGAGCTGTTTATCAGGATTAACTCTTTGCTGTTTTATGGCTTTGTAAATCTGCGTTGGGACATGGTTTATGGATGTGGTTTTGGAACCATTGGAAATAGCATTCTCCACCTTCTCTTTTTTTGCAACCCTCGGCTTGTAATTTATAAGTCTGTTAAGTTACTTGTGCCTTATGAGGTTAATTGGTGAAGCATTTATTTCAAAAGCCTGAGTTTTTGACTATCGTCGTCTTCAGAGGCCGACGTTTCTGAGCGCAGTTATGAGCGCGCTACGGTAGAGCGCTAGTCAGTTGGAAATCACAATTGGAAAAAACATTCAGTCCCTTTTAAAATAGAAATATTCTGACCAGTGTCACCAAACATTCAGTAATGACTGAGCTGTTGAATGCATAAGAAAGTGGAAACGAGAACAAGAGAAGTCAATCGGAAACGCTAAAATTAACACATTCACGCCGACGGCCTTATATGGGCTGCCAACTGCATGTGTTCCTGGGACGATGGCAGCCCGTATGGTGTGTTCGGATAATCTTTACGCATTGAACATTGCTGAAATTATTTTGTGACATTCATGTTTTTGTTCATTTACAGTACAAAATCTGCGGTGTGTGGTGAGGCGGCGGCGCCCACAAAATCGCGTCCGTCCCACGCGACCGAAAAGTGGAAAAGGGGCGCCGTCGTGAATGTGTTAAGGGCTTTAACGTCGGATGTGGAACGACGGCAAGATAGAGCGATCAAAGAAGACAAAACACGCGAGAGCACGCCGTTCGACTGAGCACACTAATCTTCATACGTATGTGGGTGGGAAGCGTTGCAAAGGGGCAATCTGTGCGATGAAGCTGGCATGATCTACGCCTGTGCGACCCCACTACTTCCCTCGCAGTATCCTTCCCAGAGTCGGGTTGATCCCGAGGATTGATTTTGAGTGAGAATTTGTAAACCCATACTTCAAGATTTGTGCTGGTTTTGTAAACGGATTGAATGTCTTATAAAACGAATTACAGTGAGGCTTCAGCTCCAACTGCAAAGACAACACCGAATATTGAGTGAATTTGGTAGCATTAGAAATTGTTTTTTAAGGCAAGCCCCAGGACCACATTGGTGGGGCTCTCGCACAACAGTGCGAGTGCATTGGTGCGAAATTGAGGATTGCAGTTAAAGGCAAAGTTCGGGCTCAGACCCACCTAATAAGCCCTTGTGGCTAGAAGTGCATGGGACGCAACTGCAGGCGACTCGCCAAGTTCCCGCATCGAAATGCGTCACTAAGGCGCTAGGGGCCAAGGACTTTGACACGCTCCACCTGTTGCGACACGCTCCGCCCACCGCTCGATATTTTGTCTGCGTCGCAATGTTGATCTGCTATGCTCTCTCTTCTCGGACTTCTCTACCGCTCTCCGCGCTCACATTATCTCTCATCTCCCTGCCGGCCTTTTGAACTTCTCCGCAACGTAGAGCAAAAGGCTCGTATTTCCTGTGTATTTCACGATTTTTTTCCTTTTTCTCCACTGGCGGTCCACCTCCCACCCCTACATCACATTTGAGTAGAATTACCTCATCAGTTCAAGCTCGAATCTTGCCTTTAAAATAAGAAAAGGAACCCGTCGGAAACGCTCAGGTTCAGGGCTCAATAACCTTCATAATCGGCTGTGCTAGGGGAATGAGAGACTAAATGCGGAGAGGAGAGTATGAGGCGGAGAGCGCTACAGATTGGGATGCCAGACATGAAAATCAAGTGATCACAAACTAAATCGATATCTTGTTTTTGTCTATTAACTGCTGACCCGTCTTGAAGCGCACATCAGTTAGCGGGAGGCCCTGGTTCGAGTGCCACCTTGGTTTGTTCATAACCCAGTATAGCTGTGAATCAATAGCCTTCTCAAGCACAACTTTCTTGTGATGTTTTTTTTTCAATCCAGATATATTCAGTGTACAAAGAGCATGAATGAATTAATTCTATACGGCAACTATATGACAAATCCTATAACAACACGACACTATTACATCTCTAGTAAAGGAAGACTGATCAGATTAATAAAACGTTCATATATAGAAAACACACATGGTTAAGAGTTTAAACGAATCAAAATTATGTAAATGTTATATCACGTTCTGTAAGGCAAACAAGAAAACATCACAGTAATCAATTCACTCATCGAAAAAGAAATGGTCATTCTTGCACTGCTGGAACATTAACTACTCTCAATTCCTTGGCAAATTAACACTGTGTACAACAAGACCCGAAAACAATCCCAATCAATTTCTGTCTCACTATATGGTAAAGTATAGAAATTGAGCATGCATTCGCACAGCGATAAGGATTACTATCAGTCATCTTCACTCAGTTACCACCGATGGCAGTTTCTTCAATATGCGAACTTGCTCATAGCCAATGCTTAACACTCATACCAACCTACCCCAAATTAGGAATAACCGAACCGAATTGCGCAGTGCCTACTCATACAAAACCTTCTCAAATACAGGAAGTTGGTGATTTTCAGAAAGTTGTATAAGAAGTGCGCATCGATGAGGTCAGCTAAAGTTCTAACGTGAGTAGAGAAAGCCTTTCTAACCCGTTTTCGTGAGTATAAAATCAGCTACCAGTGGAATATGATCACTCGGCACATAACGATTCGGCCACGGCCCCAACGTATTCTTGCAGCATCGTCAATCCCGGTAAACCTAATCTCCGAAGCAATCGAAGTTCTGGGGCTTCGTAAATTTGAGTGGCCTGCAAAAAAGTGCAACTAACAATGGAAGAGTTCTTCGAGCGGGAAAACTTCAATTCGATTAAAAAAGAACTCACCGAATTGATGGTTTTCTTCTTCTCAATCGAGTAGAATATAAAATCCGGATTAGCCACTTCTTTGTGATACGTAGAGACTTCCTTCTGGAAGAAAACTAACTGATTATTAGGCAGTTATTCACTATCTTTTGTGGGTGATGCGCTTCGAAACATCACCACTGTTTACAAAGGTTCAATTTTACTAGTACAACAGAAACACGATCAAACTGCGAACAGAAAACGTTTTCATGGAATTGAAAGCAACCTCTCCATTTTGATTGAAGTGATGATAAACAGACGCCAGTCGCAACGGATGGGTGAAATAATCGCTATCAACTTCTTTTCTCGGAGCTGGAACTAAATTGATTGGTGATATTTAACACAATCGGGCGGGGCGGGCAATGGGGAAAAAGGAGTCAGCAGAACGACTGGTTATTTTGGGGGTAATCTTGTGGAAAGGAAACAGGTTGGACTGTTCGAATAGGAAATAATAGGTCAAAGAAGTATGAAAGAATGATACGTACCCCGCCCGATTTATATTTCGACCTCACTATGTATACGTTTTCAAAATTCATCATACGATGTTGCAGACAAAGTTGGAGGTTTTTTTTTTTCAAAAACTAACACTACAGTGAACAAGGACATTTGGAAAACGTAGTGCGGACTTCACATAAGAATTACTCAGTTATCGCAAGAATGCTGAGTTATGGGCAAGACTCTTCGCCCAGGTGGGATTCGAAAACCTCTCGTTACACCTGTGGGCCACCAGTTATACTACCTGGACACTAATTCACCTTTACTCGACTTTATGCAGTCCCCTCGGCCGATTCAATCACGCCCACTTCGAAGCGTTCACTCCCTAGCGGCTTTCCAAGGTGAGTTTTTTGTTCAGTCACACTTCTTATGTTCTTGACTGAGGGCTAGCGCATCGTTCCACATCTTAGTGTCGAAGGTAAAAACCCTGCTGCGACTGTTGCGTTAAGTACTGTTTTTAGGTTCTATTTTTCAACACAACAGTCTGGCAATACTTTTTCCATAGAAACCAAATTATTCAGTGAAATCCCCTTCTTGATTTGATGCTTTATTGATTGCGCTCGCCGCTCGAAGCAAGATGTAAACAAACTAGGTATTAATCGTTTTGCACAGTTAACTACCTAGTTACTTGGTTACTCATCAGTAATTGGCAATGACAACGGCAGAACACACCTACTTCACTGCTTCACCAGTTACCTACAGATCCAACCTAATCCGACTCTTTTTCTGAAGGAAGTCACACGAACGTGCAACAGTTTCACATATCAGCAAAAAGAAACGCACAGAAGTTTCAAAAAAAAACTTCCACTTTTAAGCTAGAACAATAAAATGGGAAACTCATGGAACAAAGGAGTTGCAAAAAGAGTCAACTAGTGACAAGTGTCGGGTGTCAGCAATCGCGCAGTATCTTGGAACCATTTGAGCCCTTTGCTTCTGAGCTAATGAACACGAATGTACGCATTTCAGAAAAAAAGTTACTTTCGAGTGCACCATTAAACAGATATGTATAGCGAATTGTAGTCAATGGTCGAACACCCATCAAAGGGAAGACGTCTAATTCGACAGCCAGCTCTACCTACGACCACATTCTTCGTAAAAAAAAAACATGGAGTAAACTGAAACAGTAATAAGCGGCTCACCTTTCTCGTCAATGAACATACTGTCTCGACCAATCCTTGCTGCGGACGGTAAAATATTATCGGCTTGAACGCATGGTCCTCCGTGTGCTCCCTGGCCAGACAGCTCATTACGAGGTAAACCTCGCAAAAAGATGCTAAATAGTGAAACATTTAACAGAACCGAATAATAGTAGGAGAACAAAACCAAGAGAAAATCTCTGATATAAGTATTAGAAACACTGAAACTTACCTCGATTCGCTAATATAGGTATACACGTAGGACAGAGGCTCGATATTGAGGTCTCCGTTGATAATCACTGGACATGATGATTTTGACAATTCCTAGAAGAGATCGAAAAACGTAGAACCGAAGGAGAACGCCTTCAAGAATGTAAATTAAGGCCTGACGGCCTGAACGCTCCAAAGCCACTCGGGATCACCAACGCAATGCAGCATTTCGACTAATACATAGCGCACGGTAAGCAAACAGCGCGCGTAACGGGTTGTATCAAGTGGTACGAATGGAAATCTTAGCACCTAATTAGTGCTGCCTCGCGACTAGGCGCTAGTGTTCTGTGGGCGAGATGCGCCGTACATGTCCAGTAATGGTGCAAAAGATTAGGCGAACAACGATTTCGAAGGGAGAAAGGTGATTCAGATAAAATGTGATTATTCATTTATTATTAGATTTTAACAGTCTGACTCCTGTGAACAAATCGAAAATATTGATGTACCTATTTATTATTATTATCAACTCGTTCAATTCGTTCTGAAAAAGCAAACTTCGGATTGAATCCGAACTTGTACCTTGATGGTGTCTTCTACCCCCACCAAACCTCGTCTCCTGCTTTCTTTTCTGCACTGGATGCAGCGGAAGACTTCTTCGCCCTTGTTCGTTACTAATTTCGAGAATGTGAAGGCATGTGCGTGCAAGGAATTCTGTAGACTAGTACGTGACGCTTTCCCAGTCGACTTGCAAGCCTTTCTCCTATAAATAGTTCTGGTTTTAATGGTTGTGGAATGGTACCGGGCTGAGGACAGCGGCAGTAGAGGGCGGCAGATACCGAGGAAGCCGAGGTGACACGTACGGAGAAAGCCGAAGAGTTGTAGTGTGAAGAATCAGCGGAATACGTAGGTAGTATGGCGTTTTGCGGTTGGACGAGACTTTCGAGTACGAAGTATGAAGGCGACGGTGTTGGGAGAGGTCAACCCTACGTTGGTACAAGTACCAACGGGGGGGGGGGCGTCGTACTTGGTTTAGGTTGGAGGGGGGGGGGGTCGTACTATCTCGCTGGTCGGCGGATCGGCATCTCGAAATTGCTTCCAAATTCAATAAGACTTCAATATGCATCCCATACACAAGCATGTTTCAGAAAGAACATGATAGAGGAAGGTAAACAGTAGCTGCAAGACATTTAGCATCGTTCAAAAAAAAGCGCACCATGACATGTGTCCACCCACGAAATCATATATGAAACTAATTTTTAGCTGGAGTACTGCCTAAGAAACCATGGTCCACCACTTTGTTTACGCAAGAAAATTGATAGTAGAGCATCTGTAATCCGGTTCCTTCTAAATGACCTTTCAATCGAATCAGCGAATCAGAAGCGCGGCCGAGACATGGCGCACACCGAAGCAGGGTATGCCACTGCAAGCACGTGCTCGAAGCATTCTAACACATCCTATGGTCAAAACGATATTGTTTTCCCTGGAGGTTGCGGCCTGTGAAACCTAGAAAAACCCACGTTCTTAAGAAAATGACTTGAAGAATGCCCCTTCAAAAGAAAGTCCCAACGGGACTAATTTTCGAAGTACTAATTTTCAGGAATGTTGGGGTGCTTGTTAGAAAGCTTGAACCCTCTAGTTTCTCATACCGTGTTCAGCTTCCCAAATAAATCAGTTTGAACAAAGTTATGATCGCTAAAAGGATGAAAAGTCGCGGTTTCAGAAAAATAGTTCCGCGAACCCCCCAAGAAAGTCCCAACGGGACTAATTTTCGAAGTACTGACCTTTCAGCAATGTTAGGGTACTTGTTAGAAAGCTCGAATCCTCTAGTTTTTCATAGCGCGTTCAGCTTCCCAAATGACTAACTTTGAGAGAAGTTATGATCGTGTGAAGGTTGAAAAGTCGCGTTTGACCAGGAAAAAGTTCCAACGTGCTAAATTTTTATTAAATTAGCTTTAAAAGAAAATTTAGATATGAATGGAGAGAAAATAATTTTGAATTTTTCAAATCAAATCACTTCGCCGCAAAACCTTGAATACGAAGAAAGTTATAGGGCTAGAAAGTGGAAGGTAAAAATTGTAGTGCAATTCCATTTCTTGATCAATTACTTATTCATTCCAGAATGTTTTAGAATAAATCCGCTCTACATAAGAAGGATTAGCCTCGGTCGAGGAACCTGAAAATTTAAGAAGAAAAAATTTGTTTACATTTCAATATCCCATTCGTCACCAATAATCGATCAGCAAACGCGCCCCATTGCCACGACCGTTCCCAGGGCGCGATCCACCACATTTCAAACGCGATCAATGCGCGTTTCCATTTCTTTTCATTTCCACTTGAACTTGCATCACATAGCCCCCCCCTCCTCCTCATCGGATGAGCGCCCAAGTTCCATCGGCCCGTCTCATCTTGATGCTTCTTCAAGGGAAGGATACCAAGTCGAAGTGGCCATCCGTAATGAAACCTATACTCAGAGATGTATTTTCGGACGCTGATCTCAAATCCACTCTCCAAATCTGCGAAACGATTCTCTGAAAAAAGTTACGGGGGTTGTTTCAAATGAATGTTCATTACAAGAGGCGCCTTCAATGAAGTGCGGCGCCTCATGCTGGTGAGACTATGGTTCGGTTCTTGGTGAAGTCCAAATTTTTGCTTTTATCAATTATGCCTGTTTTCAGCCCCAAAAGAACCTTTAGTGTGGAAATTAACACAATGTACAAAGCAGTCACTTGTTTGAGGGCCCAATCCAAGCATACGCTTCACAGTTTTCTTTGTATGATTGACCATTCTGCTTCGTCTTAGTGGGCGATTTCAACAATTTATGAGCAATGACGTCATCTCTGGTGACGTGGCAACATCTCGACACCTGTAGAATAATTGATCGAAAACTTCGTGAAGAAAGCGATTTATGCTTGAAGTGAGCCCTCCAAACAAGTGACTGCGTTTGTACATTGTGTTAATTTCCACACTAAAGGTTCTTTTGGGCTGAAAACAGGCATAATTGATAAAAGCAAAAATTTGGACTTCACCAAGAACCGAACCATAGTCTCAGCATGAGAGGCCACCACTACCACTGACAGCCCTCCATTGAAGGCGCCTCTTGTAATGAACATTCATTTGAAACAACCCCCGTAACTTTTTTCAGAGAATCGTTTCGCAGATTTGGAGAGCGGATTTGAGATCAGCGTCCGAAAATACATCTCTGAGTATAGGTTTCATTACGGATGGCCACTTCGACTTGGTATCCTTCCCTTGTCAGAACCAAGCCTTGGAGCCTCCAAGAGAGGACGGACCTGAGAGATCCGTCCTCTCTTCAAGGCTTAGTCCTGAGGTAAGCAAACCAGCCTTTGGCGGAGCTTGGACGTAGTTGTAGTTGTAGTCGCACCTACGCTGTAGGTGCTCTGTGTTGAAGAAGAGTAGAAAAATAAAAATGTGTGCATGAATTGTAGTATTACACAGTATTTATTAAGTATTACACACAAGGGGGGGGGTCGTATCAATTCGCCCATGAAGGGGGGGGGGTAAAAATTTCCAAAAAGTACCAACGATAGGGTTGACCCTGTCGGCAGGAACAATTTAAGGTGGGGCTGGACATACGAATTATGAGGACGAAGATGCTGACGGAAGGGCTTCGGAGAGGCTCACGAAGGTGTGAAAATTGGCCAGCTTTACTAAGTCGTATGTGAGGGTGTGAGAGGTCATGGCTTCTTTTGATTAGCCAGCCAAGCGGTAGTCATTAACTTTCAGAAACATGTGAATTCAGTTCTTTTCATAAATTGATCTGTTACAGGAGCCAGAAGATCAAAAACTAAGAACGGAATCCTTCCTCCTTCGAAAATCGTTGTTCGCTAATCTTTTACACATTACTAATACATGTACGGCGCGTCTCGCCCACAGATAGCTGGCGCCTAGTCGCGAGGCAGCACTAATTAGGTGCCAAAATTTGAGGTCACTTCGCACCTAGTCGCGACGCAGCACTAATTAGGTGCTAAAATTTCCACTAGTACTACTTGAGACACACGTAAGGCACTACCCATGTTGTTAGCACATTAAATGACAGTTGTGTTCAGTAGCCATAACCACGCAATCGGCTAACCCGAATAACACGATTGATGAGCACTTGTTTTTTTTATTCTTGCTGGAACTCATATTGTAAAATGTTGTGATTGACATAATTAGAGCATCCAAAATCCTTGTCCTTTTCCTTTCTTAAAGGGACGAGTCGGATCGAATTGCTGTGTTATTTGTTCGAAAATTAGTAGGAAGAACAAGGCAAAAAAACACCATAGAAAACACTAAACTCGGTCGTGAACTTGACCGTGGTATGACAGAGAGACACAGCGCTGCGAGGAGAGGGAAAACACGAGAGAGTATGTCGTACGCGAGAGGACACAAACACCACGTACGCCGCAAATGATAGGACTGCTTTCAAACATTGCCGCTGCGGTTGGTGCGGTCCGTGCGGAGATGCAGGGGTGCAGAGAGAGTAAGAGCGTCAATACGCGCACTGGCGCATGACGCGTACTTGGCGTACAGTCGGTAGCTTTCGATCGATAATTTCAGTCTCAATATGTTTTCCTCTTTGTTTTTTGATGTTTTGTGTGCCGTCTTGCTTTCATTCGTGTTTTTTTGGCTTAGACTTCCTTTTTGTCCTAATCAATATTTTCAGCTGTCCCTGAAAGTGGCGTTATGCACTTGCACATGAACGGGTGGTAAGGCCCAGGTGAGCCCTTCAGCGAGCAAAGACACTATGTCATAGAAAAAGTTTTAAGCAAAAAAAAAACACGAGCGAAAGCAAGACAGCACACAAAACATTGGAAAAATGGAAAGGATGCATCGAAATTGAGATTATCGATCGGAAGCTACCGACTGTACGCCAAGTACGCGTCATGCGCCAGTGCGCGTGTTGACGCTCTTCACTCTCTCCGCACCGTCCGCACGGACCGCACCGGCGCAAAGTATAAAGCCATCTAAGGATGGCAGCACGGCAGCACACAAGGCAAGGCCTTCGCACCGATGCCTTGCACTTATTGAGTCACCACAGTGTCGCGCCTCCAGCGTTTGGGGGCCCTTCTTGCTCACAGGTGTGGTTCACTAGGACAGAAAGCGACCTTTTCGCGTTTCGCAGCGCAAAACCATTCTCGCTGCGTGAACCTCAGGTCCACGAGTAGCTTTAGACACGTGTTAGAAATTGGTAAAAAAAAATGGAAGAAAACAATCACAGATGGATA